CATATGCTAAATGGAAAAAAATGTTTTGAGTCTTATGAATAAATGTTTTTGGTGTTCTGTCACTGAAAATGTTTTTTTGTTAAATTTTTACTACAATTTTTAAATGATTTATTATGATTATTTTTTGTTTTAACTATATCAGACTGCCTTAAAAATGTTATTTTTGTTTATATCTTTACTACATTATCTGCTGAAATAGAAAAGAATAGTTTCTGTACAGTTGTAATAAAGTTTAGTTTGCCTGATTAAAAGTATATTGATACACTGAGATAAATGAGAAACATTATTAAATGCATTGGAAAATTGTAAAATAACATTTCTTCATTTTACACTTACCCGTCTGTCTTCAATAAATATCTAAAAAAGTCATTTCCTACTAATTTAATAGCTTTCTCTGGTGTAATTAATGTCACATTAACTGCCCAGCCTGTAATAAAGAAAACATAGTGAGATTTACTATGACATCTAACCTCTGAATCACTCTACATCTGAAACAGTTGGTGTGTAGGAGTGGATAATGCTTACCACCAATCAAATTCAAATAAAAGCACGCCCTCTATGGCAACAATGACATATGGTCTGATTATGAAGTCACTCAAAGAAAGTGACAACAATATTTGCATTTTCAATACCTTTCCAAGGTCTATAAATCAAACAACGCAAATCAAGATTAATTAGTTTATAAGTAGTATTTCTCAACAATGGAATTCCAGAAACTCATGATATCCATATGGGTATTTTTCAATACTTATAAACAGAAAACATGATCTAAATCAGTTTTCAAATACTGTAAAACATGTTGAAAAAGCAACATGCAGTTTGCGAATTGTGGTGAAATGGCGTAATAGCGAAATGTTGATTTAGCGAATCGCTCTAGTCATTGTTGATTCCTGTTTTCACAATACTTGTCTGTCGCGCGCAAAAACAAATGCGCAGTTATCACCTCCATAAAAACAAAGAAAAACTGTCAAGTGTAATTTGATTCTGTCGCAATGATAAAAAACTGATTCAACAGGGATTTGAAAAAGCGGGTATCGTTGCTGCGTTATATCCAGAACATTGACCTTTTACATTGGGACTCAAAAATTACTAAGTACTACATAAAATTTATCTATCATGTCAGTACGTTTTTTTTATGTTGTTTAAAAAGTGTGTGGAGAAAAAAAGATGTTGTTTGGCGACCATTTTGAATTAATATTAAGTCATTAGTTTTACAGTAATCACTTTACATGAGTATTTAATGATTTACAAACCTTTGTATAAACCACGAACTCCTTCCCTTCGGAGAACTTTGAGAAAACAATCCAACCTTTGAAAGAAAATATAAAATACGTCAGTAAGTAGGTAATCTGTATTCATACATTCTTGATATTTTTAAACTTCATAAGTCATTACTTTTAAGTTTTAAGTATGATATAATTCATGAGAATCTCCCACAATCAATGTCAACATACAATTTGCAGTATTTACATCACAAATATAGAACACGACAAAGATGTCGAAATGATTTACTTGTACCTATAATGAACACAGTAGCGGGGACATTCGCAATATCTTATTTAGGGGCCAAACTTTGGAACAGCGTATCAATTTCTTTATGGTCTAAACAAAAACCTACATTCAAAAATACTATACGGGGAAATTTAATGTCAGTATTTAGAATAAAACTAATATTTATTATAAATGTACATATATACATTATAATATATATATATATATATATATATATATATATATATATATATATATATATATATATATATATATATATATTATATTATCATATTTGTTTATTTGAAATATACTGAGGTGTAACCTACTGTTAGTCTTACCTTAAGTCATTAAATTCAAGTTATGTCAGGGATCTGACTCGACTAGCTTTTAAGCTATTTCAGATTCCATTTTACCTAGACTGCATGTACAATTTTGAGTATTGTATGAAATATTTTTCTAGGTAAATAAATTATTATTATTATTATTATACAGTAAATGTATATTTGATTTGCCAATACATCTTAAGAGTTCAGTGTTTACACTGTCAACAAAATACACAAAATGAATATTTTACACTCAAAGATCAGTGGTAGCAATCTTTAAATTTAACCATAGATGTATTCGTATATAAATATAATATGGGAATTGTATCCCACATTGGTGACCACGACAACTACCACCTTTCAAATTAAGCAAGCAGACAACATGCAACTAA